CCCCCAGACATGGCTGGTCCTGACCTAAGGTGAACCTCCCCCCTCCCAACCACCCTTGTTCCCCCTAAAAATTTGTTAAAACACCCCTTTAAAAAGAACCTCAGTTTGGACAATTTAAATAAATTTCTGTTTGAACCCGCTGCATGCCACCTCTCGGGGTTCCAAACCCCATCCTCGAGGTGGGCCCTTGAGATCTTATTGGGCCAGGCCTGCGCGAGGGGTGAGTCGCGCAGGGCCAATAGGACCATCCTAGGGTACATAAATTAAGTCGCAAGTCCGGCTGTGGGAGATCGAAAAAAGGGGGGGGGAGGCAAATCCTCGACAGTTGGTAAACCCGGCCAAAGTCCAACTAAGTTGATCATCCAGCCTCCAGGCCACTAAAGTCACACCCCTCGTCAGCCGGTGATTTGCCGGAGGCAGATTAAATCGTACTGCCAGACCGTGTCCTCCTCCGGCCATTCCATCGGACCGTTGGGTGATCAGTCCCGGCCACACCCACATTCATGGGAAATGCTGCGGTCAAATTGGCCTGCTAGAGTGCCGACGTCTCCCTTGGACGGCTCCCAGATTCCTCCTCAGATGTCAGCTCAGGGGAGGCTGAGTGTCAGAACCCATTATTTTAAAGGGCCTTTTTCCTTTCTTCCTCCTTTCTAAACCCGAATTGCATTCTCTTCTCTCCCTGGGTTCTGCCATACTCCTGAAGGTGAGGGGGGGAAGTGCTTGAGGGTGATTGCCTTGTTTCCTCTATCGCAGGGGTGTCAAACTCAATTTCATTGAGGGCAGCATCAGCATTGTGGTTGCCCTTGGGGGGCCGGGTGGGTGTGGCCAGAGTGGGTGCAGCCTACTGGGTGGGTGTGGATGGAGTGGGTGTGGCCTACTGGGTGGGCGTGGCCAGTTCTACATCATTCGCGTCAAGGGGGCCTGTGGGGGCCTGGGCAGGAGTGGGACAGATCTGAGGGTCTCTGGCAGAAGGGGGTGGGACCAGGGCAAGTGCCAAGGCATGGTCCATTTCTTCATTCCTCACAAAGGGTGACACCTCCCCAGCATGCACCCGGGGGAGGGGCCAACACGGCAGGGGCTGGTACCTCACTGTTTCTGGACGGCCTTGTGGAGCTAAGACTGAATGCGTTTCAGCATAGATGGCCACCACAAAATTGTACATTGGCTCCTGGCCGGCTTGGGCCAGGGCCAAGGCAGCAGGGGCCGTTCCCTCACTGTTTCCAGGATGGCTTTGCGGGCCACATGAAACCAGTTTGCGGGCCGCATCTGGCCCCCGGGCCTTGTGTTTGACATGTCTGCTCTATTGCTACTTTGCTGTTTCTGCATTATTTCTTCTGTGAACTTTCTCTCCCCTGTTGTCAGCTAGTAAAGGGGGGAGGAGAATGGAATGTACCTCGGGCAACTTTTTTA